GTTAATATACGTTTTCTATCATTATTCTACATAGCATACGTAATTTTATTTAATATGTAGGAATGAATAGTCATCTATGCTCTTACATTTTGCTTCTATATCACCTATATCTAAAGAAAAATATTATATTTTGAATATCGATCATGCACAAACAGGCCAAACCATTAAATAGTAACGTCTATTATGTGTCTCTACTCTCTCTACACCGCATTAGTATATTAGGCCAAATATTATACCCTACTTTGGTAGTTGGTATTGATTCATTCTTCTTCTTCTTCTTGCGTATGATATGATTTGATATTTAGTTGGTGTTATTTGATGCATTGTCTTCATTTTTATATTATATATATGTATATATGTATATATATACTTATATATAGGCCTATATATATATTGCATCGTCGTTGACAAATTATATATAACAAAGCTATGCCAAATTGCTTTGAAATAAAAAAAAATGGTAGATAATTGAATGTTGTTATATCAATTGGGTTTTATCATTGATGATATTGTTTAAACAAAAATTAGTACGTTCACCAACCACGTGTCAATGTAATTAGCTTAATTCTTCGTTAAATAACTATTTGTTTCGAAATTACGTTAAAATTAAAGTAATTAACCATATCAGGTTCGAAGGCCACACAGAGAGCAAAATTAAATGTGTATTTAATAATAAATCAGCTTTGCTCTTGTTGTTTCCAAAGACATTAAGCTATCTATTACACATGTATTTTTGATAAGTTGACGTATTGATGATCTAATTTTAGGCTATTATAATAAGCTGTTTAGTTTTCTTTCCTTTTTTAAGGCTTAAGTTGAAAAAAAACGTCATAACACACATGACGAGGCTTTATTGGATTTAAGAATCAAGGCAAAAGACGCTACTCGGAATCCCTTCTCTGATCTGTCTGTGTTGTGCAAAGATTAGCCTAATGTCATCAGAGCCAGCCTGGCATCACGAAACGATAAGCTACCAGTCGAGTATTTCTCTCTGAAATCACTCTAGGGCCGCAATATGGTCAAAGATATCGAATAGTTAGGTGGTAGGCCGAAAAGCTGCTTAGAAAGGAATATGAAACAGAACAGACATACATCTACGGGAAAATCTAGGAATGAAGAAGGAACAGAATTAAATTAAGGAACACCAAGAAAGCAATTTAAAGACGTATGTCAATACACGAGGTATGTATTCAAGTGCTTGTTTCCGTTTCCCAGAATTTTCGTAACTGTATTTATTGCGCGATTTATGTTTTAAAAACAATTATCGAGTATTCTTAAAGTATCGAGAGAAATAATACATCATTAATATCGTATGTTATCGATGAGTTTATTCTAGGTTATAGGCGCAATTATGAGAATTCGTTTATTTCTTTATGGAGTGGACAACCGAATTAAGAAAAAAACTGTTCTGAAATGGACTGTGCGCCGGTGGTGAACTCTGAATGAACCTACTATGCATGCGCGCACGTACGGGATTGGTTGGTTTTGGTTATGTTTATTACTGAAAATCTATGATTGTCTCAAACTCCGAATCAATAGTATATTCCTAATGCTATTTCGCGATGCTTAATCTGCTTCATTTATTTTAAAGTGCTAATTTATGATACATATTTTCAACGAGCAGACATTTTAGTGATATGGTAGGAACTCAGTAAAACAAAGCGACCATTGAGGTGCTAGCTCCTAGCGGCAGGATAAGGCAATGTCCTGTGCTTCACCTTCGGACGAACTCGACTCTTTAGTAATTGAGATTTTAATCGGGATTTGGATGGGCCGAATGGATTGGCCTTAACGAATCATTTTTTCCTGGACCTTGACCTTGGGGTCCGTACAGACAATATTCGACGATCTAAACTTCCTGCGTTTTGCTTTAATACCGAAAAAAAAATCTTTTTGTCTTTCTTATATTTGAATACCGACTGATCCTGGTATTGATAAATCTAAATATATACCGTCATGATCTATTGATGGTCCTAATCACCGCCATCACTTAGTATATGTGGGTAATTCTAACACAAAGTATTTTTTTGAGGGTTTTGTAGATTTGATGCGTTTATCCGCTGTTTTCAAGTTCAACGACTGTCTACTTCTTTATTCTTGTTTTGGATCCCTTGCATAATAATTTGCATAACATTAAGTGTGTACATGTTATTTGTTTAAAGTAGACTTTTTATATAAGAATTTGTGGTTTATATACATACATATATAATATATACCGTATATAGGCATGGTGTATAGCCCTATATGATATATATAGCCATAGGCCTATAAATATGTGTGTATATTCAAATTCAATAAAGGTAAATTAATTTGTTTGATATTTATTTGTATTCATATGTCATAGGCCTATTCTGGATTTTCTCTGCTTACGGTATCTAATAGACCTAGGTTTATACGGCATATATACAAATTTTACATGATATAGAATATGGAAATATGCGAAAAGTGAGAGAAAAGAACACCTCCTCAATTAAGATTCGAACTAGGGTTCTTGCTTATAATTATAGCTCACTCGGGATTCGAATCTGTCTTTTATTCAAAACTTCCAGTGTGTGTAAGGCCCTGTCCAGACTATCAAATTTTAGTTGACAAAAAACGGTTGTATACCCATATATAGTCATGGTGTGCCTATATATGGTCATGATGTGATGTAATCATGACCATACTTAGGCATTCTACATGTTTTGTCAAATAAAATTTGATTGTCTGCACAGGACTTAAATTATAGACCTATTACTATCGTATAGAAAAGACCCAGTATGACTCATAGTCACGATACAATAAGGAAATGAAAACTTTACATTAAGAAGATGAACCACCACTAAAACGGTTCAGCCACCGTTTGTGGTAATATTGATAACATACATACAGCAGTATTAATAGTAATTGGACCCCATATACCTCTTTGCTACAAAGATTTATGAATTTCCTTATATATAATATATTAGATATGACAAGGTGTGGCGTCCTACCCGCTAATAATAAATGATGGAATTTGGTATAGAATAAAAGGACGTACCCGATATGGGTAATCCTTATTAATAACAACTACAATTTTTTATGTACTAAGAATATATGACCACTGTTACTGCAACAGCACAATATCATTGACATAATATTATTGATTATTTTATGAGATATGATATCGTTTCATGTGTGTTTCAATAACAATTGCTGACCAAATACGGTACTAGTGCAAATGCAACAGGGACAAATAATGCATAAACAATGTTGCAGTTTAATATTGTAATGTTTAAATAATTTTATTTGGATTAGGTGAAGTTGACAATTGTTCGAGTGTAGCGCTATTTTCGAGTGAAGAGTTGTGAGGTTTTGCGCAATTTATATGGCAGCGTTCAATCGATTAATTGATTAATTGGTTGATTGATTGATTGATTGATTGAGTGAGTGACTGATTACTGTCAATTTACTAATGTTTTAATAGTTTTATATTGCTTGTAATTAGCCTGAATTACTAAATATCTTGCCCATACGCAAAGCACAATGGCGCTGCGAGTTGTAAGTATAAAAAATATAGGTTATTACAAATTGTTTTAATGGTGCTAACATTATAATAATTACCGTACATGAAAAACCCGAGTTCCTCTTTGCAATAAACATATAACTGATATCACTGCAGCACGTTGTAGGGTTGTAAACATTACAATCATGCAGTAAGTTTTCCATTAAAGCAGTAAATTATATTAATAAACTATACCTAAATGTTCAATGGTTCAATCCCTTAAAATTGACATTTATAAAATATTCCTTCTCATTTTTAAGAGGATTAAGAAAAATCAAGTAGGCCTAGTTAGAAGAACAGACCTATTGGTATTTTAATAGCATCGCACTTAATAATATATCTGAATTGTAAAAACTGTTCTACTTTCAAACTAACAGTTGATGACTAAACTCATATTATTATTATTAGGGCCTATAATTATTAGGGTTTTTTTTTTGTTTTTTTTTTTTTTTTGGTTTTTTTTGAAAATGGACTTAATTTATTTTTGTTTGATTTAATTCTTGGTAAGAAAATGTACCTTACCCGAGCCTTTGTCCCGGGGGTGATAATTGTGTCCTATTATTTTCCCTTATAATAATTCTGAACATAGCCATGGCGAAATTAAAGCATAATTATGCATTTCCAGTACAAAACTAGATAATGAATATTATACGAGCATTATCGGTTATTAATGCAGACAAGTTGTTGGTTCCATCTTGGTCTACAATTACCTGATAATAGTAATAAATACGAGTGAGTCAAACTCTACGAATCTCACAATGCTGGCCGGGTGACGTCACGGATATATTATGCCCAACGTCGTCCTTTTTCCATTCTATCTTATGCGCGTAAACATTGTGAATAATGAGAATACAACATATGCAGACGACGCGACGTTAAATTTAACCAAAGTTGTTTTGAATTTAACCAACGACCACTTGAATTGTTTGTCGATATCTTCATTGATTAATCATACAATATTTCATTTGAAGAGAGAGTAAAATACAATTAACAAAAGAATAGACATACAAAAACACAACAATATGTAACCAGATCTTTTCGGACAATTCTATAGGCCTAGTCCATCGTCAGTGGTAAGTGATGTATATATTCGTACATAATAGATATATATAAATATATAT